ATAACTTCTTCAAAGCCGCGTTTCACGACATATTTTACAACTTCTTTGTGCTAAGATGCCTGAGAGAGGTATTTAAATTGGCTACGGCTCCATAACGTTTGAAAATAGCCAAGTATAGGAGCGGTACACCATATAATTCTTCCAGTCACAGCATTTGAAGGCATACTGTACTGCGTTGTTCCCTTGACTCTATCTGCCTAATAAGACTCTTTGAGCTAATCGTGAAATTACCAAGGAATGCTTACTTTATGATGAAATGTTCTCAGTACGTAAAGACCCATTGCATCTTGGCTTCAGTTGAACTATGGTTGTTTGATATTACCAGATCGCGGGTCACCAGACTTTCTCGGTATGTTGTGGACCACTGGCTAGCAATATGCTAGACGGCCGGGTGCGCTGTAGCGCGGAGGAGCGAAATCGCTTATATAATTTGCAACTATTTTCCTCCTTGCATCCGAACGAACTGAACAGATCGTAAGATGGAGAACAAAAACTTTTTGCGATGCCCCCCAACGAAGATGAACACATAATCTGACGAATGGCGGGTAATTAATGGAGGATTCTGTGAAAATTTCGCTCTCTCAATTGATTACCCATCAAGGACATTTGATATGCAAGAAAACCGAACTGGAAATCTGGAATCTGTCAGTTACGAGTCTAGTTTTGGCCCGGTTCAATTAATTACCCCCTGTCATTCTCTGTCTGGAGGAAAGTCTGTGTGATGCATTAGTTTAAGCCAATTTTCTGATCTGTGCGAACCTACCGGCGCCAGCTATCTACAGTTCGATCTAGTTTCTGGTGTCGTCAGTCCTATTTCTCCCTGCCCTTGTCTTTGGTCTTCTAAAAAGACCAGATTTGGTGCTATTTCTCTGAATTGGTCATTTTCCCCTCAGAACTGGTCCCTTTAATCTTCTGTTCAACGGACATAGGGCAGGTCGTGTTTTCCATGTAAGAGTCAGGATCTTCCATGATGTTCATTTTGACCTGTCTTTTGATGTCATCATTCCAGCGTTGTCCAAATCTATATCTCAGTGACTAGCTCGGCTCAAACAGCAGAGCAATCAGTGACGTTCAGAAGTAGTTTAATCATAAATAAAGCCTGTGATCATAATCTTAAATCAGTATATATGCATTCTGGCCTACCATTTATGATTCTCATTGAGAATAACTGAAATGACGGCTCTCTGATAACATAAGACTACCAAAAATATACCACCATATTCAACACGTTCAGTGAGGATAAGTTTTTTGTTAAGGAGCAACCACCAGCAGAAACGAATACAGTGGGGGCAATTAGCAATTAATGCAGTGCTCAGTAGCTTTCGCCGATAACGATCTGAAAAATCCTACGGTTACGATGTCACCTACAGAACACGATAACAGTTCATTGCTACAATACTCTGTAGGCAAAGGAATTGATTTCGTGCTGTAGTTGCAAAGGAGGAATATTCTCGCCAATGGAATCATATTAAAGGTACCACTCTTTTGACTTACTATTCAATATACGTGTAAGTCCATGAACCAATGGGAAACCACGGAGGTGCCCAATATGTCGTTTCGATCGAAAAGAATCCATAGGTTTTCTGTTAATAGAGATGAAAGCATGCAGGACAAACGAGTGTCATATTTTCATCTAAATCGCGTCGTCATATAATAATGTATTCATACGGCGACAGCAGGCTTGAGGGCGGGCTCTGTCCCTAAATCTTCCGTCGACCAAACTAGCGTGAACAACGGTTTCAGTCGACTCGAACCCTCAAGTCTGTGGAGAGGGGGTGGTAACGCATGGCGAGTCATTCGAACGCTGGACAGCAACCTTTCCTCCAAAAGCCGCATGAGTCCAAGGTACCAGCGGGAGGTCATTTTGGAAGTCTAAATGGATCATGGTAGCTGTCAGAAAATGATCTCTACAAAGCTGTCAGTAAGATGTTGACGGCATGACGCCTACCGGTTTGTGCCCTATTTCAATGGCGATAATAAGGCGAAGTGAGGATACATCACTTTTAATTCTTGAATGTACTCATATTTCTGAAGGACTGAGTATTAAAAATGTACATTTCTTAAAAGTAAATTTCCGCAGTGCACATTAAGAGTAAGGTTTAAGGAAATTTCTGCTGTATTATAAAAAGGAGTAGCTGCTTCTGAATCATCGTTCATAAGGAGTGCGACGCAGCTTTAGCGAACAAAGTGACGCAAAATGCATCTGCCACTATAGGCGCTCAAATATCACCGGTCCACTGATTGACGCAATGGCCCCGTAGGCAAATAGAAGTGAGGTAGCGGCGCATTATGCCGCGAAATCTAGTCTTGGAGCAGCTGTGTGTTACGTAAGAGTATGACATTTGATCTAGGTTCTAAATAGTTACGAAAGGCTATCATACATAATGTCCATTTTCAACAGGGTGTGAATATTACATGTGGCATTCCGAGGAACTTTTCCAGGAAAATGCAGAAACTGGCTTAAATTAAAGTCTACGATCTTTTATTTGATACAGATCATTGCTTACATGATTTTATATGGTCAGGCTGTATAGTAGTATATTTCATTAGTCGTTATTCTAATAACTTCAGAAGGTAGAGGCGGTCGTGAAAATGTTTATCTATTTTTCTTGAAGAATTAATAACGATTATGGCTTTGATTTCCCTGTGCTGTGAATCACAATTTCCATTTTCTCGTAAGCAGAACTGCTTTGAAGGCATAATCAATCAGACTATCATATTGTTTATTTTTTTGTCCACTGTTGAGGATATAGTGAAATGGTTGCCTCACGCTTGTTTCCAAGGACCCACATTACTCACATTTGACATAGGCAAGTATATCAAAATTTGATCCGGACAACAATTTCGCTTCAATGAACTAGCAAGCATACCATTGGCTTACTCCTACGGAAAATTAACAATATTTATACTTCTATAGTATATCTATTTGACTGATGCAATGAAGCTGACGACGGTATGTAAGAAGACTGCGATACAAAAGGACTATTTTTCGTAGACCGCCGAAGGTGACCGGGAGGTTTAGTATTGATTGACGACTGCAATTTGAATGTCAAACCGTCTCTCATCAATCTCACACGACGATTAGTTCATGGTGTAACAGGATAAATCGTAACTACGCTGACAGTTGCTAAACTTGCAGCAACGGAAGATTCTCGTCAGAAGCCACGTGGCAATTTTTTTAGCTTAAGTGATTTTCAGATTCTTTTCATTCTCGCAACGTCAGCTGTTTTTCCATAAACGATCTCTCAGCTTTCAGCGGAACTCGCGCTTCTGTTCTTCTAGCGAATCTGCTGCAGTAGCCACTTTCGTCACAACTGCTCTCAAACCGTTTTGAAAATAGAACTCCTATCTGTTAGTTAGTTAAAACTGGCGTAGCCCACATTTTGCCCGCCTTATTTCAGTGTATCACCTGACTCTCTTTCAACAAGTTTTTCACGTTATTTTTCGGCTATTATTTGCTCTTGTCATTTATTATTGATGCCCGCGTTTACTCGACATTAACATTTAATGGTTGCTTCACAGTAACAGCCAAATCTAAGCAGTCAAGAACATACATTTCTCTTGCTCTTCGTAATCACCTTTATTTATTTTGCTATGTTGCATAAACTTTTAGCATATTTAACGTTTGAACTTTATTTATTCGTAACCATTGGTATAAATTGTGCTGTAAGGT